ACCGGGTGACACCAATTAGGGGGGGGGGGGGTGACACCAAGGCAAAAATAAAGGCAAAATGCACATAAGAAAATGCTTGTATTAATAATTAATTAAAGCTAAATAGTCTTTTAAGTATGAATCCACTATTATTACAAGGGGGTAGGGGTGACACCATGACTTCGCGCTAACTATAGAGAAAACAATGCTACACCCAACTGTATTTTTAACAGACTAAAGATAAACATAGTTAATAGCCTATATATACATTATATATATATATATATATTATATATATATATATTATATATATATATTATATATATATATATATATATATATATATATATATATATATATATATATATATATATAGTACGGCACTTAATAGCGACCCTTCCGGGGACAAGCTTTCAATTTGCACCCCCCCCCCTCAAACTTTCGATTTGCATCTCTTAAAAGACTATTTAACACTCGAATTAATCACCTAATTAATTGGAATTATCATTTTTCTCTATATATTTTGCTACTTTTGCCTTGGTGTCACCCCCCTAAATGGTGTCACCCGGTGCGGTCCGCACCCCCCGCCTCTGATATATATATATATATATATATATATATATATATATATATATATATATATATATATATATATATATATATATATATATATATATATATATATATAATTCTCTTCTGGGAGCCGTTAGAAAACAAGCTGCAAGCGCGCCGTACAGTCCCCTCTCTTCCTCTCTATTGCTACCACCCCCACCCCCTCACATGGTCTGGTGAGCTGTGGTTCACGCTGTTTACATTTTACAATCATAGAGATGGGTTTGGTGACGGCTATTAGGGGCAGATAATTTAGTTTGAAACGATTTTAAACTTAGAGGAGGTAACTAAGAGGAGGCTGCTTTCACTGGGGGGGGAAGGGGGTGGGGGGGTTTAAGCAAATATTTTCAGTGGCAGCATTGGTACTGTCGAATTCACACATTATAAATTACTGAAAAGTAGAAAAAAAAACAACAACTAAATAGCGGCGTAAGATACGCAGCGGGTAGGCTCGTATATATAATTTCGTCATGAATATACTTAAATTTTTTTAAAAGGAGATAATTGAAAGAACCCGTTTGCAATGTATTCGATTAAAGTGATCTCCCCTGGATATAAATTTCTTTTATTTAAGCTTAATTAGATGGTAAAAAAAATAATTTGTATGATACCACCCCAATTCATAATAAAATAACGTTTCTCAATTATTTTTTTTTCAATTTACATTTCAAAAAGAAAAAAAAATGATTGCCTGTCTAACTACAATTTTAATATTTTACAAAATGAAATGTTTAACAAGTCACAATTTAAAATTCAAACTTTTATTCTAGATTCTTCTGACAAAGCCTAGTTAAATCGCCCCCCCCCCCCCCCCCCCCCCCCCATCTGTCCTCCTCTGATCAGCAAATTATTTTTTTAAATTGTTCCTTCAACAAGCAAACAAAACCACAAGAAATATCTGTATGAAGAAACACAAACTTTATTCAACAATACAATAGTTGCAGTATGATTGGGTTCTGTTGCACATGATCGATCACTCTCAGCATGCCTGTGTTAAAATTGGGTTAGTATTAGTCAGCCCACAGTTTTACCACATTAGCTTAACCTACTAAACAATCCAATAGTGTCTTTGGTGTCTAGAAATCTCCAATACAATCATTAGCTGGGTTCAAGTTGTTAAATTGACATTTTATTTCCGTAAAGACATTTACAGCATCAATAAATGAAACATTTATTAGTAATGTTAATTAGAAAATCTGCATAATTAATCATAATTTCTTGAATCAGTCTAAGCGAGATCAATGATGTGATATTAAAAAATTCTAATATTAACTTCATTCACTCAGGAGGGGGCATGAGTTAGACAGTTTGATTTGATGCATGGATAAAAGTTGAGTGGACACATGAACAATAATTAGATGAATGCACGATAATTGAATGGACACAGCAAAAAGATGATTGGCCAATCAAGCAAGATTAGTGACACATTTTTAACACATTAACTCATTGACTGGGTACATCGCAAGTTGACCAGTCTAACAAACAAGTGGACACACTAACATAGGTTGGCTGGGACACATACAAACTGACTGGACACATACAAGTTGACTAGGCTAACAACTAAGTGGACACACTAACATAGGTTGGCTGGACACACACAAACTGACTGGACACTTACAAGTTGACTGCCAAAATTGATAAAATTTGAGCTGAGCACACATACAACATATAGGCCGACATACAGGCACATAGTTAAGCTGGAAAATCGATGTGGCACAGACAACTAAGTTGACACACTGACATGTTGACTGGACACATTGACAAGTTGACTGGACACCAAATTGACTGGACACATTGACAAGTTGACTGGACACAAATTGACTGGACACACTGATATGTTGGCTGGACACAAATTGACTGGACACATTGACAAGTTGACTGGACACAAATTGAATGGACACATTGACAAGTTGGACTGGACACAAATTGACTGGACACATTGACAGTGGACACAAATTGACTGGACACATTGACAAGTTGACTGGACACAAATAGACTGCAGACACAATTGAATTGACTGGAGACACACATGAGTGCATTAAATGAGTGGCAAATACAAACACGTCAAGGGACATACACAACATGACTACAGAAACCATGGCAACAACTGCACTCAGCAGATTAAACAATACAGAAAAATCTTCAGAGAAAAAAATTATATTTACACTAAAAACTATTTACACTATGATAAATATGTTACAAAAAGTAGTTGTTTTTTTAAGCTTTAAATTTTAAAAATTGTTTTAAATTCACATAATTTTTCTGTTGTTTATTTTTAAAAAGGTTTTATTTTAGTTTTCTATTTCCTTAATGTATTGGTCTAAAAGGCTGTTTTTTTAAAATCAATATCAGATCTTAAAATAAATGAAAATGGAAAGAAATGCAAAAAATATGCATACATAATTAAATACACAATTTTTTAAAAGATTTTAAATTCACACTGATTAGCATAATAAATCATTAGATCTTATAACAAAATTTGATCATTAACACAAAAACATAATTGGAAATAAAATGTTAACGGTTAGGCTCTTGCACATATTTCAACAACATACACAAACACGTCATGCTGTTTAATAAATTCGTTGCCCAACATCTGAAGAAAACTTAAAAACAAAACTTTATGTCCAGGAAAACAAATTAGAAATTTGTAGAGCTCATTTCTAAAACAACAAACAACTGGATAAAGATTTTCACTTTTTTTTCCTCATTGTTTTAAGACACATAAACAGAATGACCAGGGTTACCTTTAAAAGAGAGCAACCAATTTCCAACCCACCCTCCTTCCAGTGAAAGACTTTGTACATCTAACATTTAATCCCAGCACAGCATGTAAAACTTCAACAAGTAAGGCAGTTTCATAGCAAACATCAGGGAGGTAATACAGAGCAACCTTATACAATAATGTTTAAATTGGCTTAAAGTATTGTTATGAAGTCCTTTTTTTTAAATTAATCTCCAAAGATAATGAAAATTAGTGTTAAATGAAGAAAAATATTTAAACTTACCAAAATTAAAACATGGGGATCTAATTTCTATACAATGTTTTAAGCAGGATGAAAACACAATAATAATATCCACTTTTGTACCCATAATACTGTTGTAAATAGCAGAAAAATGTTCTGTTTGAAACATGATTTCCTTGATAAAAGATGATACTGTAACTTTTTGTTAAATTATTGATGACCTGTATAGAGAATAAACAAAATATATCCTGGTCCTGACACAACCGAAAACAAAAAAAGTAGCACAACTATTAAAATGTAAATACAAACACAACAGCTATATGAAACAAAAATCTCTAATGCAGGTTGTATTTCAACCCTTCCCATCAATACATAACACATGCCAGATTCACTGTGTGTTGTGCTCAAATTAAACAAGTAAAATAAAAACTAGAATTGAGAGAAAAAAACAGAAAGGAAGAAAGTCTTTTAAAGTATAGTGTACTGGATAGAATATTATTGGCGTATGAGGTATGGGGGCTAATTTATACGAGTATAAAAAAAACTGGTCAAAAAATATAAACCATCACCATTGTGTCACAACCATCACACAGAGACATGTAACCAGGTAGTGTCACAAACATTTGTCACATATTGTGTCCCCTATTGACAGTGAAGAACAGGCCAATATCTATGTCTTACTGTTATAATAAACTTGTCAAGCTGATTTAGATTTTAAAAAAAAGGTAGTTTTTTCTCAGTGGTAGAGACCACAATGTTCTTTAAATTATTTATAGAAATAACACTGTATAATAAAATAAAAAATCATTAATCAAAAACTATAATTACTTATACTGTTTTAAGAAACAATTTTGATTTGATGAACCTAAATGCAGATTCTGGGTGTAAACAACAGTAATATACAACAACTCTATCATATTTTCTAGATACCCTTTCAGTATCAAAACCAAATCCTGATTAAAACTATTTGTCTCATTTACCAATTCAAACAGGTGTGGGCATATACTAATCTGATTGTTGTATATAAGCTTACTTGTTCAGTGACAGCTCTTTGTTTGGCAGCTTTGTTTTTTGACAACTACTAGTTTAACAGTTAAGTTTTTGCAGCTTTGTTTTTGATAACTACTAGTTTAACAGTTAAGTTTTTGACCGTGAGATATATGGTTATGAGGTAAGAGTCAAGAGTTAACTGGAACTGGAAGCATTTAATGATCAAAGCTACTGAAATTTTTCAGTGTTAGACTCTGAGATATTGCTCCTTTTTTTTGAAGGGGGTGGGGATGGGTGGGGGGGCGGGGGGGGGGGGAGAACGACACTTGTAAAACTTTAGGTTTTCTATAAAAATTATAATATATATTTTTTATAGACAAGGCAGAGTTACATTTCCTGGGATTGTGTGTGGGGGGGGGGGGGGGGGGGGGGGGGGGGGGGGGGCATGGACACTAGAAAAAAATGTAAGAGATCTATAAAAACTATGAATCTATTCTAGTCATTGCTACAAGGTTTAATGAGATACTGATACACTGTTAGCTGTGTAAAGCTACACTTCCTGCATTGTTAACAAAGCAAAACATATAGCAACTTGAGGCACAGAATTCATCACACAACACAACAATGACAAGTAATCATATGATGACAATAACAAAACTATGATCTACTATTGTAAACCAGAAGCTTCTTGAACTATGTGTTTCAAATAAGGTAATTCAAAAGAAGGGATGTTTTAAATTTAAGACTGCAGTTCAATAGTAAAATTTTAAATGTTTTTGTACAATTTTTTAAAAAAATTATTCCAAGAACAATACAATTTACCCATTCTGAAACCACCAATCAGATCACACCAGCTGTTCATAGCCAATAAGATCATCTATTACAATTCTATTACAATTCTTAAACAACCAAACAACCTTTCAATGTTAGTCAACTAAAGTGAAAGACAAACTCATAAAGATTGAAAATATATCATGATAAGCTGAAAAAAAAAAAAAATTCTTTGAGAAAATAGGGTGCATCAGACCAATTTTTTTTTTTAAATCAGACAGGTAGCTTAAAAATAGAAACTAAGCTTAAAGAAACATGAAACAAAAATGCATAAAGTAACAGATTGCAAACATTTTAAAAAATCCAGAATGCACTCAAGAAACATATTTAAAACAAAAAACAATAATTATATTCCATGGATTTTAGTGACACCTCAGTCAAAGCATTGACACAAAACATTTTCGACTTATAATTATGCAACAATTTAGTTTGACAATAGTCCAAAACTTTGCAACCAGCTACTGTATCACACATTAGAGTTATGGCAACCAATTCTTGTAAGAGCAACAATGGAAAGGGGGGTAACAATTTCAAAAGAACCAACTGAATTAAATTTAGTTAATCAAGTTTCAAATAGTTTTAGATTCATGGATGAAATGACACCTGCCATATAAAACTATCATTTATTATCAATTTAAGACATTTTAACATCACATATACTGCATAGAATACCACCAAAAGAATTTTAGGCTTTGGATATAATAGTTTAAATGCCCTAAATTTGTATTAATTTTGAAAACATCGGAAACACAAAAATTTAACTGGAAATATTTAATGTGTTAATTTTATTTTTTAAATATAATTCAAGTCAAGGAATAATAACATTTTTGCCAGTTTACTTGAAAATGAGATGGGATGATCAGAAAATTTACTTTTAAAAATTGTCTAACTTAACTAATATGCATGACTAGAAAAGTGTAACATTAAAAAAAAATAGTTCTTTTATTACTACCTAAAGGTTTAATGCTTCTATGTAACTGTTATCGTTTTTTAATAAGATAGTTTACGACAATGAAAAAATTAGGTATAATTACTGCATTAATTAGGCCAAACTCCAAACTGTAATTAAATGCTGCGCAAGATGTGCAGATTTACAAATATATTTAATATGGAAATAAAAACAGACTGTATCTACAAATTTTAAAAAGATAAATAGCATACATCTGTTTGTTGTTGTTTATAATTCGAAAACTTTGTTACATTTTTCAACAAGAAAATCAAATTTTAAAAATTGTTTTGGAAAGAGATACCAAGTCTATAATAAGTATACAAATTGATAAAATTGTTTTTAATGCATAAATTATCGGATAAATCATAACACCTAGACATGTCTATATATGAAAGCCAATGTTCTGTGAACTTTGGCAAGGCTTCGTATGGATAGTGACCATTTCTTAATTGTACATAGAATAATTGATAAAAAAATTTTAATTAACGGAGAAATGTTAAAAGATCATATTCTCACTAAAGCAGTCGATTTGATGGATAAAAAATCTTTTTACAAAAACATTTAATTCCAAGTCTCATAATACATTTTTAAAAGTGTGTGGTTTTACAGTAAAGACAGCAAACAGGTGTTCATCAAAAGAGATTCATTAATTATATTAACTGAAGACAGGTGTGGGGAAGGGGTGAAGGTGCTAGACCATTAGCCATTAAATTTTTATATACCTAGCTGTTATAAAAGAAAATTATTACTTAAATACATTTGTTTAGGGCTGTTTTGATTTGGGTTCGATAACAAAATTTTGAGATTCACAACATCACAGAATGTAAGTTTTAGTCTCTTTCCTGCTTGTAGCCATTTACCAAATTAAAAATTACATAAAAAGTTTAATAATTGTATTTAACAGTAGCATCAACTTGGGATTTTGTTATTTGGTATCAGACATAAACAAGGTAGAGGGGATGGGTTTAAAATGTGTGACATTTAATGTGCACATTGTTATTAACAAATATTTTTTAACTATAAGACAAAAAAATGCAATTTATTTATATGCATACTGACAGTAATACATCACAACATTTGCCATTTAATCATTTAATGTACATATTAGAAGAAAAAAAATCCCTTTTGAGAATATATTCCAAAAGTAAATAACAGAGAAGAGGCAAATTCAAATACAATAAGAATCCCATTAGAAAACAGGTTAACTTTTTTATTTTAAAAATAAATTTCCTTTAATTCACCATGTGAATTAATTTTTAAATGTTAATCATGTGATGCAAAAAAAGTATAGTTCACATGTCCACTCAAACAATTTTTCCAACAATTTTACAGCAACAACATTGTTTCAAAGCTTTCGAAAGATGAATAGTCCACATTCTGTTGCACGACAAATGCATAATGTCCAAACGAACTTGCAATGCGCACATTATTAATATCATCATCCATCAGAATAATTTCATTCTTTTTAATTGCTACATTATGTTGATTATAAATTTCATTTATGACAGAGGCTATATGGGCTTGTTTGCCATTTAGATCTGGAAATAAACCTCGCACAGAATCAAGTGAGCTCCCACTGCCGGTGCTTGTTCGCTGTTGCTGCAAAAATTCTAATGTATTGGCCTGAACATAAACTTTATTGGCAGTTCTGAAATTACAAAAATAAATGGCTATATAGTGAACAGATAACAAAATTATGTAATAGTATTCAGGATGCCTGTTTTATAAATAACAGACATGAAAAATTGCTTTTAATATTTTGAAGCTGTTTTGGGCTATAGACTACTATATTCTCCACTCTGTATCCATAAAGTATAGATCTAGATCTAAAAGAGTGTGGAAGATTTATAATAAAACTAAAATTTAGCCTAGGCCTTTGATAAATGATAAATTGATTATTATTCATATTGCATAAAATAATAGCATAAGCCTAACATATTACTAACAATACATGTATAAAATTCTGCCCCGAAACAAGTTATAAAAACATAAGGAAAAAAAGGGAAAAAAAATCTTACTTCTTGGGCAGAACTTTATGTAAAACTTCTTTAATCAACCATCCTTGTCTGTGATATGTCACAATGGCAACAAAAAGACCTTTATGTGAAGCAGTTTCCAACAAGTCTCTCATACAAGGCCGAACGTGAGAAGCAAGTGCATCTACGCCTTCATCCCACATCCCTCCTGAATGAATGTCAATAAAGGTTTTGTCGAAATCAAGAGCTAAAAGTTTTATTCCTTTTTTGGTGAGAGCAACCACAAAAGAATCGAGTTTGGCTCTCACTTGTTTACTTGGTTTATTGCTCCCTGAACATGCCATTTTTCTTGTTTTAGTTTTAGTGCATGGAAAAACACAACACATTTATTCCTAATAACAGAATTATCATTAACCAATGTTTATTGTGTATTTTTTTGCTGACAATGAGAGTGACCGAGATTTATTTTTTAACATTATTGAAAATACGATTCAATCAAAGTAAAAGATGTTTGCGAGAGTAGCCGGTCCTTGTTACTGTTTCGGGCTAAAGGCCGTGGTTCCGTATTGCGCGTTCTCGTCATTTCTCTCAATGTGCAGTAAAGTAGACCTTCCTTACATTTTTAGTCTTTTAAAGAAACATAAATTACGGTTGTTAAAATAGTCTAAATAAATAAGGGTCAAATGTTAAAAAAAAGAATTAGCATAATAAGCGTTGTTCAAACCAGAATACAAGAGATAGTCTTAATTATAAAAATAAGTAGCCTAAGAACTATACAGTGGTACATCCAGAGGCGTAGCGACCCTTCCCGGCGCCCGGGGACAAACTTTCGATTTGCACCCACCCCCTCAAACTTTCGATTTGCACACCCCCCTCGAACTTTTCATTTGCACCCCCCTCAAACTTTCAATTTGGCGCCCTCCCTAAGGTTGGTGCCCGGGGACATATGTCCCCCCCGCCCCCTCGCTACGCCTCTGGGTACCTCTACATAAGAGTGCCCCGACATGCGAGATTGTTTTTAGATACGAGCTGTCTATCGAGCTAAAATTTGCTTCGACATACAACCAAAGTTCGAGGTATTAGTAACCGGATTAGTGGGTTAAATAGTTCGTGGAAAAGAGACACCCAGAAAAAGTTTCAATTTAAGTGATCTAAAAATCAACACCAACGTCTTCACGATCCCCTTGAGTGACGGTGCGTACAAAATACCCCCCCCCCTCCTCAAATTTGCATCGTGCATTGATGCTATTTAATGACATTTGCCTACTCTTTTCTGTAGCATCCTGAAATGGAGGAAAATACAAACCTACTTTGACAGGTGTTTTTTGTAAACACATAATTAAAACAAAAAGGTGGCATTTATGGGTTTGGAATTTTTATATAGGAAATATTAACTTTTTTTCAAAAATCGTACGCCCTATGTTTTAAGAAAGCTATGAAGCCTAAATTTGTACATTATTGTACAGTAAACGCTATGCAATTATTTTATTCTTTTTAGTGTGCCACTTTCGTCTGTCAATGTTTTGCTGGGAGGGACTTTTTTTTTTAGTAGAGCACTATTATTGTTGTTGATTATTTTAAGCGCTAATAATTTGAGAATCGATTTAACTGGGTCGTTTTGAAGAGTCAGTGTAATTAATTTAGTTAACTATCATATCTAACCATAAAACTAAATTTGCGTGGTTAAGTTGTTGTAGAGAAGTATAGGAATTGTGAAATGTGACACTGTGGATGTGACTGATCAGGTGGGATTGATACCTTGGTTGGGAGGGGGGGGGGAGATGCGGGTTTTGTGATTTACGAAAAGATATCAAATCAGAGGGGTCGGGAAGGCGACAGATTGGTCGGGGTGGGGGGATGGAGAATAATACATCATGATGGGGAGGAAGATAGGAAGGTATGATATATAGGAAATATATGTATGATAAAATAGTGACTTATTATAAATGACGTCACGCTTTTAAAAGTAATTTTTCCCTTCTCCCCCCCCCCCCCCTTTCCAAATCGTCACACAGCCATAAACAGTCGCACATTTCTCCCTATGACGTCACACCTCAGCTACAACCCCATTCAAAATTAGTGGATTTAAAAAAAAAACATACATCTCTTTTTAAAATATTTGCTGTTTTATATCATTGAGTATAGACATAATCAATTTCTATTACAATTTACAAGAACAGTCTTTTTTGAAAATCCTAAATGACGCTAAAATTCAGTTTAAAACCTTTTTTTTTTTACAAATACACTTTCTGAACCCATGGACCCTTCACCTGGCATTGTCACAAAATTCCGACCCTCCCCCTTCCCTAACCTCTAAGAATGGTGATGTCATTAACGGACGCCCCTTGACGGAGAAGGATTGTGGTTTTTGTGTCTCATGATGAATTACGCATAGACTACTTTTTTTTTCATCGGCTCTCCTGTACAGTCAGTAACCATCATCTTTTCCTGTTCGTGCCCAAGACATGTGAGGCAGGTAAGGCAGAGTTCATCTGTTTCAATGACCTTGACATACTCGGCAAGTTTAGTCAGGGCTATGCCCAGCCGAAAACGGTTCCGTAACGACAGTAACGTGAACTAATTTTTTTTTTTTATTTTTTTTTTGTGACTTTTTGTAACGATATGTGACGGAGGGGGGGGGGGGGTAAAAGTTGTCCCAAAAAGAGGGTGACGTCATTTACGGATGACCCCCATAGGCCTAGATCAAACCGTTTTGCTAACTTTTTAAAAAATTTCAAATAGTTTTTTTGTCTTTTTATTGTAAGTCATTTCCCTCAATCATTCAGTGCAGGATTTACAGTGCCGCGAAACTCAGAGCTTGACTTAAAGTATTTATCTTGCAAAAAAAAAAAAAAGTATAGATCTTCTACATCTTTACCAGTTTCTTCCAGGCATCTCTTCGGGGGCCAAAGCCCCCCCCCCCCCCCGAACGAAATAAAATTTATATAATTTATATAGAAAATATATACTTTTAACAGTGTCCGCCCCCCCCCCCCCCGAAGAAAGTCTACCGCCCCCCCCCCCCCCGAAAATTTCAAGTGCCCCCCCCCCCCCCCCCGGAGAAAAATGTCTGGAAGAAACACTGATCTTTACTGTGATTGTAATTTTTTTTTAAATACTTGAGGATTTATATTTAGTTTACAATCACATGCGCTGTTGTCCAATGCTGTTGTAGGCTATGTCTAATGTTACAGTTTCTGTAGCGTGTAAAAAAAATGGCAGACCTTCGATGATTTGGGGGGGGGGGGGAGGGGGGGGGGGGAGCACGTTTTCCACTACAGCAGCCACGCCGTGTTTGTTATTGTTATTCTTTTGATTTAAAAAATGTGCCCAGTTCACTCAGGTGAGCGAAATTCATTCAGCTGCGGGCATAGGCTTATTAAAACACAGTTATTTTGGATCATTTTCCAGACTGAACCTCATCAGGGACAGACCTAAGAGGATACTCACTGACGGTATTCAACTATATGCATAGGCGTTCGTTACAGGTACGGCTGTCAGATCACTTAAACGTCTTTAATTTTGGATTTGCGAGTTTTAGAATTCCATGACTACGTCGAACTTGTCTCAGAGTCTGAACATAAGCCAGTTAATAATTTTGTATACGAAGACTATCATATTAATGAATATACACGCAAGCGTATTGCCTCTGTATTGCATCGGCCTACTACTTGACTAGTCTTTGCGTTATTAATATTATTACTGTTTGCGATTAAAATATAAAAGTTCGAATTTTTAAAAACGTAATATAAAAGATAGATCTAGATGTCTAGACTAGATTTGTCAAGATTCTGGATCTAGATTAGATCTATCTGATCCAGATCTTTAACTTATTAAACATAAACGTCATTTATAAACGTCTACACCATTTTAACTTTGAATTGCATTTATAATTTATTCTGAGAGATAATGCTGAGTGGTAAATTTTAAGCTTCTACTTTTGGCATCTTAGTTATGTTCCATTGTTTGTTTTCGTAGGGGTTGGAACTTCCCATACTAAGTTACTAAAAATAGCCCAACTAGTTCGAGCTTATCGAGGTAATATAACGATTTTTATTGCAAACCTGTTAACTTTTATTGAAGTGAGTTCTCGTCAAACTTTAAATATTAGATCTAGATCTTACACATTTTGTATACTTAGATCTAGACTTCTGCAGACCCTTGTCTACTTTTAAAACTTTTTAAAAAATATGGGCCTAAGAAAACCCGATTAACCGTGTAACACGACCGTGTGTAATATTTTGTCACCGGGTTGACCAGGATATAAAAAAAAACACCCCTGGAAAGTTGTGCAACTAGAATCTAGATCTAGATTAGATTCTAATTTACTAATGGGTGGGATGTTAAAAATAGGGTTAACCTGTTTTCTGATATTTACTCTGTATCATGCAAGCTACTAAATATTTCTAGCCTAGAAACAGATTTAGATCCTAGGTCTGCAATAAAAGCAAGGCCAAATCTCTTCCAGTACTCAGTACTGGGTAGACCGCTAGTTACACTCTGTTAGTAGTTAACTCTAGTAAGTAGTAGAGGCTCTACTACTCTAGAATGTAGATCTAGTCTTGACTAGAGTAGTCACTAGTAACTTGAGTAGACCTAGAAGTCCTAGATCTACTAACATCTAGTACTAAGGAAGTGTTTAGTGTAGTACTAGTACTTAGTATCTTCACCTTGATTTAAAATTAAATGAGCTGAAGGCAGTCCACAAGTCATTATACTTCACACCCTGATTTGGATTTTTAAATTAGGTTGCTTCACAATTTTTTAATCAAATCTAGCAAAACGTATCAAATTCTGAAATGGCAAACACCAATCGCAAAGATGACAATGCAATTTTCCGCATTCCACCCTACTACTACATCCATGTTCTGGATCAGAATACCAATGTCACCAAAATTGAGATTGGACCTCAGACATACATCAGACAGGACAACCAAAGGTAAATAGTGTTAGTTTTATTAATTGATCTTACTAGTCAACTTGACAGTTTAGTTGAATATATACTCTTAACATGAATTTTTAGACTATTTAGAATAGCATGCTTAAAAAAACTTGGTAGACTCGACTTTGTCTCTTGTGCCCTAGAATTTTTCTTAATGCACAGATAATGCATTGCATAATTTGCTTACAGGAAAATCACAATAGTTTCATCTTTCAGGTGAATAGCATACAATGTATCAGTATGTTATTAATTTTTTTGTTAGTTTTAATTCTATAACTTGTTCTTATAGGCAGCTGAGGTGCACATCACATGTAGTTCACTTAAACACTAATTTATAAACATAACGCAGCATTTGCTTCTGTTTTAAAATATAAATAATTACCACTGTACTATAAGAATGTCTTCACTCTTAAGCTAATCATAGAAGGGGGATCAAACAAGGTTTTCCTACATTATATGTTATAATTATATTTTGTCACAACATGGTATTAATGAAAGTGTTGATAGTGTGCCCCTTGACTTGGAATTCTGGCAGTTTTGTTTCTAGATGTTTTCATAGCCCTCGTTGACAAAACACTTGCAAACCCAGCAGTTGCTTAATTTAGTTTCTTCTAAATGAGTCTCTCCCCATTAATAATATGCTTGATGGGTTGCTGTTCCCAAAAGGGAAACATAAAACCCACTAAGGCATCCAAGAAGTCAGATCTATCGTCATTCCCCAGTACGTATTCTACTGTGATTCTTTCTTAATTCTAAAGTTACTGTTAATCAATAGTAGGTTATACATTGTTTATAAAATCTGCAAACCTGGATAGTAATTTTCCACCAGCACCCAAATTTACGAGTCTTTAAGATAGACCATTTTCTTGTCAGGGTTACCCTTGGTCCTGAGAAGATGGTTGTGGTCCCTCCACGCCATTACTGTGTCATAGAGAACCCAGTCAGCAGAGACAAGGATGGGAAGATTGTTGTGGACGCCCTTGGTCAGATTAAGCTTCAGCATGCTGACCAAGAGATCAGACTCACCCAGGACCCATTCCCTCTTTATCCTGGCGAGGTTTTGAAAGAGGTTTGTATTTTAACTCTTTTAAAGCAAAACCTACTTCAATAAATCTCATTAACCTCCCATTGCCAGTAATGAGAAGATTTAAATTATAAATGCAGCTCGTATAAACCTTTTGGATGAGTTAAGTTTTTAAGTTTTCTTTGTAGGTCTACAAAGTCCTTAAAAATTATAAAAAATGGCATGGATTACTTTAATTGTAAAAAAAAATATATTAAAATTTATAGTTTAAATATCAAACTTTAAAATTCAATATTGTAACTCTTCCTTTTAAATTTACAGGCTGTGACTGCTTTGAAAGTAGTCCCTGCCAACACTGCTTTGAGGATCAGAGCCATTTTGGACTTTGATGATGGTGATGTGAGACGAACGGCAGGGGACGAGTGGCTGTTTGAAGGCCCAGGTACAACGCGAAACACAATATTGGTTGAATGCACTTTAAGCCACAATCTGACACTGGGCCACAAATACCGCAGAAACTTAAAAAGATTTCTTGAGAGACTTGTTACAAAAATTAGACTCAAACTTTCCAGGGATGCAACACAAGCCCTGCCTTTAATTTTCATCATTGTTCTAGCCTGGTCACTTTTGGTTCTCGTGTTTTTTAAAATATTCAGATTTCTTTCTGAAATTTTAAGACCTGCCAGCTTGTATACACCAAGGCAAGATGAGACATATAAAGCATTCATATTTTTATTGGTCATATTTGCGGTTTCCTCACTCATAGGTTATGGGAAGAAAAAACCCAAACCCTTTAGAAGCTCGAATTTAAAAGGTTATATGCCAGGTAGGCAATGGAATTTTAAACAAGTTTCGCTAGGATGTGCAGATTGTGATTTCATATTGCAAGTGTCACAGTTGTATACTTTTAACCCATGAAAATCAAAATATTTATTTGCATGTGTTTAAAGTATGTCTTGCAAAAATTGTAGATGCTTATTTATCTTTATTGCAAAAATGTCATTGTTTTTCAATATAAATTAATTTTGTAAAATGAAATTTGGGAATTGTAATGAGCACAAATTGTAACTTTTAGACTTTTATAAAAGTTAATTGTAATTTTGTTTTTAAGTAATTAAGGTAATATATGCTACAAATAAGTAAATACAATGATATGCCTATACATACCACCCCACAACCAATTATGCATATGGACCAGTTTAATTTTTATCAATTTTTAATCTCCATTAATTCTAACCTAAGTTGGATTCATTTTGTTTAAGAACAAAGCTTTGCTATATAATTGTGTAATGATGCATTTTTTCATAAGTTCTATGTAATAATATATCAAATTTTTTTACAATTTTAAATCTGAGAATTATGTTTTTGAATTATGCAGGCACGTACATCCCAAGGAAAGAGTGTCACATAGAGGAGACCGTTCGAGCAACGGTTATTGGTCCAAACCAAGCAATCCGCTTGCGAGCTCGTAAAGAATGTGAAGACAGGGACAAGGTCCCACGTGTGACAGGTGAAGAGTGGCTCGTCAAAAAGACTGGTGCTTATTTGCCTGGAGCCTATGAAGAGGTCGTTGACATTGTCAATGCATACGTCCTCACAGAAAAGGTACATTTTCAATAAAATTCAATTTTTTTGTTCTAAATTCTCAGTATTACTAGATTTAATATTTTACTCTTTTCTGATTTCCAGAAAGCTTTACACATGCGCTCTCTAAGGACATTTAAAGATGACTTTGGCATCATCCGCAAGAATGGTGAAGAATGGCTAATCACAATGAAGGACACTGAAACCCACATTCCAAATGTGTATGAAGAGGTGAGACGGCTGTGGTAATACACTAGTTTTAACCCACAGCTGGTTATTTGATAAGACTGAATCCTCCCAGTTGACATACTGTATCAATATTTTTCTAAGAGCAAAGTAACAAATATCTAAAATATCAACCTGTCTAAATTTTTAAAATGCAGGTGTAGCCACTTGTAAAATTTAAAACTGGAGGCAATTTGTACAAATGGCTAAATACAATACAAATTTACATTCTCTTACATTATTTGCCCCCTTTGTACTTAAATAGATGGTTTATAGTAGCTCGTGGTTTAGGACACAGCTAAAATTTCCCCTGTAGCAGCCCGTTGTTTAGGACTTGACCAAGCTAAAATTTCCTCTCACCAGGTTGTTGGCGTGGTCAACATCACAACCCTGAACAACCGTCAGTACTGCATCATCCTTGACCCTGTTGATTCACAGGGTAAACCACAGCTTGGCCAGAAAAAGCTGGTCAAGGTAAGTAACTCATGACATCCATGAGTTCTCTATTTCTTGTATAAGCATTGGGGGAAAATTCTCAAGGCATTGGAGTTTTGTTCTGTATGTGAAAATATCATTTGTATAGTGAAACTTAAATCACTGAAAAAAAATGTTTAATTTTAGAAATATTTGCATCAGGCAGATTTATTTAATGGCAATTGGACGTTTGGTTAATTTTAAATGGCTTTATAAACTATTTTTTTAGGGTGAGAAATCATTTTTCTTGATGCCTGGTGAAAAGCTGGAAAAAGGCATTCAGAATGTGTACATCCTTGGTGAAGACGAAGGGCTTATTCTTAGAGCAAACGAAACATTTGATGATGGGGCAAGTATATCTAAATGCTTTGTTTTTTTTGCCATAATTTGCTTTAGAAACTAAACAATGATGTATGTTTTTCACTTTTTTATCAAATTTTCTATAATTTCATTTAATAAGTTTAAATTATTAAATTGATGAAATAAAATTGAATGACAGGATACCAGCAGATCTCCAGGTGATCGTTGGATGATCCGTGGTCCCAAAGAATACGTCCCACCTGTTGAAGTGGAAGTTGTCATGAAGAGACAAGCCATCCCATTGGATGAAAATGAGGGTATCTATGTCAGGGACATCAAGACTGGCAAGGTTAGATTTTAGTCTTTAAATTCAAAGTTCAATAATAAAATAAGATGAATAACAATGTTTGTGTTAAGGTAAACTAAATTTACATTTTGCAGTTGTTAAACTTTAAATGGAATTATCAAACTTTATCATTTAAAAAATTCTAAATCTTGTTTCAATCTAGTTGAGTAATTTTTATTTTAGCTAAGATTTTTTTACTATTTTATTTGTCAATGAATTAAGTGACCTTTATATGACCTTTGAGGCTGAACCTTGACCTTTGAATATGAATCGACCAGGTGAGAGCCATCCAAGGTGAGACCTACATGATCAGCCAGGACGAGGAACTCTGGGCCAAGGAGTTGCCACCCACTGTAGAATCTCTCCTCGCCGTTGACCATATGGCTGAGCGCAGCGAGAGAAAAGCTGATGCCGCCCCTAAACCCCGTGATAAGACGCGCGTTGTGTCGTTCCGTGTGCCCCACAATGCAGCAGTCCAGATTTATGATTACAAAGAGAAAAAAGCCAGGTACAACTTATTTTACATGATTGTACAGGATTGCATAAGACTTTTGTACATGTTCTTATTTTGAAAAAAATATGTATACTGTCATTTTAAATGTCGGCGTGGTCAAGTCAGTAAAGCTCATGGTTGCTAAACCGAAAAGTCTTGAGTTCAAACCCTCGGGCAGATGAGGCTAGTTAGCTGGGGACAGCCACTCTTCTAGGAGAGACAACTCTAAAATCAAACAACTGCTGCCTTGTAGTTTGTTCTTGGTTGGACAAAGGCTATGGAAGCAAATCCAAAAAATAAAGCAGGAGGGGATCCCTTCCAACACTAAAATTAAGAAGAAAGTCATTTTAAATGTGCACATGTTACAATTTTCTAGCATGCAAGAGTAATTTGTTCTGCATTTAAAGTTTATACCTTAATCGTGTAACCTGATATAATGTACATTTTAGTACACAAGGCAGTTTTATCTAACTTGGCCTGACGAGTGTATGACTTGAATACATTTAAATAAAATAGTTTTTTAAAACATAATTGCATGGCTCTTTCTATCATTATCCCATAGTTTTTTTTAAATCAGATGACCTTTAAAATCAATGTTTAATTTAGCCACTAATGATCTTAATGGTTTCAGGGTTGTGTTTGGACCAGAGCTGGTGATGCTGGGTCCTGATGAACAGTTCACCCAGCTCAGCCTGTCTGGTGGCAAACCCAAGAAGCCAAACGTCATCAAATCCTTGTGTCTGCTGCTGGGGCCAGATTTTTGTACTGATATTATTGTTGTTGAAACTGCTGATCATGCCAGGTTGTCACTGCAACTGTCTTACAACTGGTAAATATCATATGTACTTGTTACGCTAGTTTCTGAACTAATTTTTAACATTAGACTCGGTAGTTTATAAACTCTGACTTTTCCATATATATGATTGTAAATTTTATTAATTCTACTAAAAATACATCTGATATAAGATTTACAATTACATCTAGTTAAACTTTTAAAGTTCTTACACCATTTTTAAAAGGTGCAAAATGTTTTAAGGTAGATCATTTTAAACTAGTAAATCTCCTAATTCCTAAAACTAAAATTTTATATATATCCATCTACCATTCAGCTTCATAAGAGGTTTCTTTAAAGTGGTACCTGTACAGAAACTGTACGTTATCTACTAGCTATAATTTTAAAACTTTTTTACAGGCACTTTGAATGTCCAGAGAGAACGCCTGTAGAATCTGCCAAGTTGTTCAGTGTCCCAGATTTTACTGGTGATGCCTGCAAAGCCATCGCATCCCGTGTTCGTGGTGCAGTTGCTCAAGTTCAGTTTGACGATTTCCACAAGGTAAGAATACCACAGTTGTGAGGGAAGGAAGAAATTTTGCAATACCCATTTGAGCTCCTAAGCTTTTTTAAAATTCCTATATTTTGAATTTGGAATGGAGCAATATGATATAAAAATGTACTAGTAAATTGAAATTTATTAGGCACAATCATGTACTATGATTAAATTCTTAAGTTGATTGCTATTAGTATGTTAATTGAAATTTACAGTAAATAAATTAAAATTTAAAACTTTCAGAACTCGGCTAAAATCATTCGGGCCTCAGTGTTTGGCATTGATGCCAACGGTAAAGTGAGAGACAAGTTCCATTTCCCTCAGAACAATTTGGTGATCACCAGCATAGACATCCAGTCTGTGGAGCCAGTGGACCAGAGGACTCGGGACGCCCTGCAGAAATCTGTGCAGCTGGCCATTGAGATCACAACAAACTCACAGGAAGCTACAGCCAGGTAGAGATCCGGTTTTTAACTGCTATGAACTAATCTACATTAAATTAATTGGAATTGGATTACCTTTTGTTTAAACTGCCAGTTTATATTGGCAGTGCTATGATTGTTTTGATAAAAAAGTTAAATACGTTTGAAAAGCATTTGTTTTATTTATACTACATAGGATGTAAAGATTTTACATGCATACTGTATTTTTTTTTGGCATTTAAATAACTATCATTCAATTTTAAAATTAATTTGGCTTTAAAAACAAAGTGTTGATTTAAATTGAAAATTTTTATTTAAAGGCATGAAGCAGAACGTTTGGAGCAAGAGGCTAAAGGTCGTCTTGAGCGTCAAAAGATCTCTGACGAAGCCGAGGCTGAGAAAGCTCGCAAGGAACTGCTGGAACTACAGGCCAACAGTGCAGCTGTTGAAAGCACTGGTCAGGCTAAAGCTGAGGCACAAAGTAGGGCTGAGGCTTCCAGGATTGAGGGTGAGGCTGCTGTGGAGCAAGCCAGGCTCAAGGCACAGGCTACTAAAATTGAGGCGGTGAGTGCCTAGTTTACCCACACCTTATCAGATTGTTTTAATGTGCTTGTACTTTGTACCAGCAGTTTCATAAATTCTGGTTCTAATTCAACTTCCTACTTGGACCTAGTGATCCATTCGGCAGATGAAATAAGAGTTCATATTTCTAGATTTCGACAATTGGAAGGATAATGTCGTCTATGCCCAGCCACTTTTCCTAACATAAGTTAGGTACCCATCAGAGCTGGGTAGACTCGAGCGACGTTTTGCCTCGAACTTTGATTTGAACTCTACTTTTGGGTTAGCATTAGCGCTCTACCACTAGTCCACGCCGTCCCATGGTTAAAGAGATTGTTACATTAAATATTTTAAATGTTCCCAGGAGTCTGAGCTGGAACGCTTGACAAACGCCCGTGAGGCAGAGTTGAAGTACGTGTGTGAACAGAACAAGATGGAGCTGGAGAAATCCTCTGAGCTCACCACTATTGAGGTCAACAAATTCAAGGAGATGGTGTCTGCCATTGGTGCCCAAACTCTGCTGGCTATGGCTACTGCAGGACCTGATATGCAGGTGATGTACTATTTTAAAAATTATAAATCTTCTCTTCAGTGCCCAGGAAATGTGTCCGCCTTAAAGCTCGTTCTGGTTTTGAGGTCTGTCAAATTTCTTGTTCCCCATTTATTCTTTTTTCTTGCGTCCCTCAATCCCCTTGACCTTCAGTTTCTCATTAGTAGTCACTATTTTTCTTTTACTGCTTTAATGAAAAGTAAACATTTTTAAGTTTCAAATTAAGTGCTTACATGTTGGCTCAATTAACTAAATTTAAAAACATGCACCTTAAATTCAATTGCTACAAAGTAAACTTTTTTAGTAACTTGAAATTATTTTTTTTTATCCATAGGTTCGCATGCTGAAAGCCCTCGGTCTTAGGTCTACCTTAATTACTGACGGCTCTTCGCCAATCAACCTATTCAACACTGCCTCTGGCTTGATTGGAGGCCTAGTTCCCTCCCGAGGTCGCCAAAGTGAAGAGGAAACTGAGGACTAAGAGAAACCACTGTTCTTCACTAACCTGAATTCAAGTTGTGACAAAATATCACTTAAATATTTTCCCGCTTGCAGATAACTATTTGTTCACTTTTTCTTACTGCCATAGGTATGACCATTAAGTAGTACAAGACTTCACTTTGTATTGCTTCATGTGTGAGTGCTCTGTGATATAATGTGATGGTGATGTTTACTAATTCTTTCTTATAAAAAATGTAATATTTCCTTAACTCTTATGGAAAGAAACATATCATTGTTAATGTGCTTTATAAATTTATTTATCCTACTAAACATAATAATGGGAACAAATGTTATATACTATGGATGTATGAGCTTGCATAATTAACAAACTGTAAAAATGATATTGTACTAGTGCAGTTAGAAATGTTACCAGTATGTTAAAGTTAAAGACAAGTACAAACTGTTAGATGTTACCATAACTGTGATTAGTTTTGACTTTTGTTGCCTTTACTTTTTTGTTGTAACTATTTTTTTAAAGTTTAATAAAGTATAACTCAAACTCATTTTTCTATTAGAGTGTTAACTTCTTTTAATGTGGGTGTGGTTATACTGAAATTAACAAAGATGCTGAATAGTTAAGATTTAAGGCACCTGTTTGAAAGTTTTAAAAACATGTATAGTCCAGAGTGATTTATCACAATTTCTTTGAGATGCTTGTGTACTAAAGAAATTAGTTTCATCCCTTTTTATATGAAATTTTTATTGGCACAATCACAAATCTTCCAGCCAAAATAATGCAATCACATTTTACCACCAAAAACTTCCTGGCTTTTTTGGGCCATAGTACCAGTCTCTGTACTGTGTGGGAAATGAATTGGCTTTATTTACATCTTCCCAGATTAACATCCTGAATGTCAACTTCTAAATTTGTAGGCTGAAGTTACTATGTTGATAAAATTATTTGGAGCAATCTTTAGTTTTTGAAAAGAAATGCTTGGGCTTTCTAAAGTAGATGGCATTTTTAAGTGGTATGGATTCAACTATCCTCTCTCACACCCATGACAACTTAAAAAAATGAACAAGCTAACACTATGAGTAATGGGGAGTAAAATGCTGAAACATGTTTGAGTGCATTTACAGGCAGCTTGGAGCATATACAATAAATAATCACTATGAAGGATTCTACATCTATTGATTTAGAATCTTGAGTTCTTGAAACACCATTAAAAAGAGGCTCTAAAATTCAGTATTTTGTGGTTCAACTGTAAATGGTTATCAGTCTCATAATCACTAAATCTATATGAACTATCTAAACCCTCCACATCACAAAACATACTATAACTCTTTAAGCTATTTGTATTGGTTTTATTCAACAAATTTACACAGGAATTGATGCATACATCATAGTTCATTAACTATATATATATAATGGTTTAATCCAGCAAGTTTAATTCTGAAATATGAGCATTGTTACAAATGGCTTTAGCTGCCATTTTTCTACCAGAAATGGTCGACAGATCACAAATCCTCAGGATATGATCGTCAGAAAACACGCCAGGCAATGATCGCATAACTTGATTTAGCTGAAACAAATTTTTAACAAGATTAATATATACAGCTGACCAAAATAAATGACATTTTCAATAAGAACACTTTAACTTAATACAAAATATCTCATGCATTAAAGAATTAACTTGACAATTTAGAATATTAAAAAATTTGAATCTTGAAAAACAATAAAATAAACCACATATATTATTTTAATATTAATGAAAAATTATATTTTTTTGTGATCTATATGACAGATATGTGATACATTAATAAGAGGTAATTTAATTATATTGCCCATGATTTTGAAAAAAATAATAATTCAGGACGTGTTTTTAAAAAGTAAAACAAAAAATGGACTACTAGTGGAAAACAAATTATCTCCAGCCAAAGAGATGTTAGTAACAAATCGTAAATGATTAATACTAATAGTTTCGCTGTCTGTGTATCTATGTATCTGACAAGAACGCTCTAGAGAAAACACAAGCAATTTAAAAACATGCATAGTTAAACGAAAACGAAATATGACGTCATATAGTAGAAAATAATATCAAGCCGGAGAGTGCACACAGTAATATGACGTCATTGATTCTCGAGTAAACATTAAATAAAAAGGCAATTTTGTCTAATCTAAGTGGTTTGCGTGAAGAGTTTCTTTCATACAATTCTTCGGGTAGGGGCGAAGCCCCACCCCCGCGTAAGAACGTCTGAGCCCCCCCCCTCCCCAACTCAAAAGAAATTTCTTCATCGATACTCTATAATAAAATTACCGCCTAATTAATGAGTCTAATCTAAAAAGTCGTTTTCTTGCAATTTCTTTAATGCAATTCTTCGGGTAGTGGCTAAGCGCGACACCAGTGTTTCTCTCAGACTTTTTCCTCCCCGGAGGGGTGAACTTTTTCTAATCTAAAAAGTGTTTAGCGTGCAGTTTTTTTTTCAAGCATCTCTTCCGGTAGGGGCGAAGCCCCGCCCAGATTCTTCCTTTAGTTTGTATGATCTACAAGTGTTTCTTTCAGACTTTTTCCTCACCGGAGAGGGGTGGGGGTACTTGAAATTTTCGGGGCGGGGGTAGAATTTTCTGGGAGGGGGCGGGACACTGGAAAAAGTATATAATTATATTTCATTGAATGGGACGGTAGACATGTTTTGGAGTGTGTGTGTGTGTGGGGGAGGGGGGCAAAGCCCCCTCCTCCCACGTAGAGTTGCCTGAAAGAAACTCTAAATGCGACTTTTGTCATGAACGAGATTAGGTGCATGGTTTAGGGATATGCCTATGACTATATTTTGTATAAATTAAAGTACCGAGAAAATAGACAGCACTATCAACCTAGCGCCCGTTGTATCCTTCCTCAATGGGCCATTTTTCTCGTTATACCATAATTTAGGCACAGGTAGTAAAATGTTAAACAGGCAAAGTACTCACCATGTTTTGGGGCATGAATTGAAATATGAAGCGTGTATGAGCCCCTCCACATTTGATGGCTTCTTGAATAAATGAGACAATGAACCAGGTTCGTGGTGTTAGGGTGCGATTCATCAGAATGGTGTTCATCATTAGGAAGAGATTCACTGTGAAACAAGAAGGGAAAGTATAAAACTAGTACTGAGTAGTTATCTCACAAGAGTTTAAAAGACAGACTAGAACAATTGTTACCTAAAGCTTTGTTCAAGTGTTGGTAGTTGAGTAAAACAATTATTACCTAAAGCTTTGTTTAATGGCTCCTTCATGTCAAATGAGGGCATCACTTCACCATCTTCTTTGTCAGCAATGGCCGCTTTGATGGAGAAATAAAAAAATTGTTGGTATAAAAATAAGTTAGAATGGTTTAATTTCTTAATTTATCAAATGGATCAAAATATTTTGTTTCTTTATTACATAACAGAATGTAAAGCTGTCTTTCATTAATAAAAGAACTAGATTAACAACATCAATGACAATACCTAAATTAAACTCCTCCAAACTTAGACTAAGCTGAGGTTCTGATAGCTTTCTAAGTTTAGCTGGGGATGTGTCGCCATCATCTAAATCCTAAAATAAAAATAATGGCTTAATTTTATTAATTAATTCCATTAACCTATAACCTGGTAAAGCATGTAATAATCAAAAGTAAAGAATAGACCATAGACAAACTAGTTTAAACACTGCTAAAAATTAAGTGCAGGTCTTAATTTCTTCTTTGTTATTTTAAGTGAAAGTTTCTAGCATTTTGCTATTGAAAAAAAAGTGTCTGCTAAAAAATAAAGGTTCATAATTTTGATTTTTGTTAAAGAAATATGATTATTTCCCTACTAATTCTATTTACAAGTTAACAACAAAAACAGGAAAGTTTATAAAAATGTTTTTTTTTGGATCAGTAAAAGAAACAAACCTCGTCTAAATCCAGATCAACAAGGCTGCGCTTGTGTAGCCGTCTGATGTAAGGTTCTAGAACAAGAATATTATGTCTATGTAAGTTAGATTTTTAAAATCTATACAAGTTATACCCCACAAAATAGAAATAACTTTATCAAATTTAGTGAAACTGTGTTAGATCATCGAAAGAAAATTTTTGCTATTTGGTTATATAATAGATTTTTTTTCTCACAACTTAAAATAAAAAAGAAACTAAAGAAAAATAGCAGAATAAAATGAAGTTCTGAGATACTAATAACTTTATTAATCAAATTAAAATAACAGTAGAAATGTAGATGAGAAGACCTCTTACCTTTCTGACCAATTTTTGACCTCTGCGTGGCTGTTATGCTGAGCACACAAAGCTTGGCTAAACAGTGGCCCCTGGGGTCAGTCAGTGCATTGGTTTTTGGTGTGGACAAGAGGCGCGGCAGCACCCGACGTAGTAAACTTATGGTCATGCGCTCCAGGTCCATGTGCATGATCGCGAAAGCCAGGCTAAGAGACTGAGATGCGTCATCAATGTGGTTCTGTTTCAACAGATGCTACAGAAGGGAAATTTTACATTCATGTTTACTAACAAACGCAGGTTTATGATATGCTGCCTAGCAAGCAAATATTTTTTTTTTAAATATCATAAAATATAAACTATCATATAACATTAGGGGGTCGGCGTGGTCGAGTCGGTAAAGCTCATGGTTGCTAAACCGAAAAGTCTCGAGTTCGAACCCTCGGGCAGATGAGGCTTGTTAGCTGGGGACAGCCACTCGTCTAGGAGAGACAACTCCAAAATTAAACAACTGCTGCCTTGTAGATTGTTCTTGGTTGGACAAAGGCTATGGAAGCAAATCCAAAAAGAAAAGCAGGCTGAAATCGGAGTCAATGGCCTCAATGGCGCATAACCAGTTGACACGTAACGCTTAATTGTGTTGAAGGCGTGGTCGAGTCTGCAAAAAGCTCATGGTTGATAAATTCGAACAAAACTCTCGAGTTCAAACCCACTTGCAGATAAATCTCGATCCCCTTCAACACTAATAATTAAGAACGAAGAAGAAGAAAAAGATATACCATTAAATATTAACTACCAATGAAGTAACAAAGTTTCCCTAAATGTGACCAAACTTTTAGTGCCCTTAATGTCACCATACTGCTAGTGCCCTAAATGTTACCATACTGCTAATGCCCTAAATGTTACCATACTTTTAGTGCCCATGATGTCACCATACTGCTAGTGACCTAAATGTTACCATACTTTTAGTGCCCATGATGTCACCATACTGCTAGTGACCTAAATGTTACCATACTTTTAGTGCCCATGATGTCACCATACTGCTAATGCCCTAAATGTTACCATACTGCTAGTGCCCTAAATGTTACCATACAGCTAGTGCCCTAAATGTCACCATACTGCTAGTGCCCTAAATGTTACCATACTGCTAGTGCCCTAAATGTTACCATACTGCTAGTGCCCTAAATGTTACCATACTGCTAGTGCCCTAAATGTTACCATACAGCTAGTGCCCTAAATGTTACCATACTGCTAGTGCCCTAAATGTCACCATACTGCTAGTGCCCTAAATGTTACCATACTGTTAGTGCCCTCAATGTTACCATACTGCTAGTGCCCTAAATGTTACCATACTGCTAGTGCCCTAAATGTTACCATACTGCTAGTGCCCTAAATGTTACCATACAGCTAGTGCCCTAAATGTTACCATACTGCTAGTGCCCTAAATGTTACCATACTGCTAGTGCCCTAAATGTTACCATACAGCTAGTGCCCTAAATGTTACCATACTGCTAGTGCCCTAAATGTCACCATACTGCTAGTGCCCTAAATGTTACCATACTGTTAGTGCCCTCAATGTTACCATACTGCTAGTGCCCTAAATGTTACCATACTGCTAGTGCCCTAAATGTTACCATACTGCTAGTGCCCTAAATGTCACCATACTGCTAGTGCCCTAAATGTTACCATACTGTTAGTGCCCTCAATGTTACCATACTGCTAGTGCCCTAAATGTCACCATACTGCTAGTGCCCTAAATGTTACCATACTGTTAGTGCCCTCAATGTTACCATACTGCTAGTGCCCTAAATGTTACCATACTGCTAGTGCCCTAAATGTTACCATACTGATAGTGCCCTAAATGTCACCATACAGCTAATATGACTTGGATAAAGATAAGAGCCACCAACCTCCACCATTTCACCTAAATGTCACCATACAGCTAATATGACATGGATAAAGACAAGCCCCACCAACCTCCACCATTTCACCTAAATGTCACCATACAGCTAATATGACTTGGATAAAGATAAGAGCCACCAACCTCCACCATTTCACCTAAATGTTACCATACAGCTAATATGACATGGATAAAGATAAGAGCCACCAACCTCCACCATTTCACCTAAATGTTACCATTCAGCTAATATGACATGGATAAAGATAAGAGCCACCAACCTCCACCATTTCACCTAAATGTTACCATACAGCTAATATGACTTGGATAAAGATAAGAGCCACCAACCTCCACCATTTCACCTAAATGTTACCATACAGCTAATATGACTTGGATAAAGATAAGAGCCACCAACCTCCACCATTTCACCTAAATGTCACCATACAGCTAATATGACATGGATAAAGACAAGCCCCACCAACCTCCACCATTTCACCTAAATGTCACCATACAGCTAATATGACTTGGATAAAGATAAGAGCCACCAACCTCCACCATTTCACCTAAATGTTACCATTCAGCTAATATGACATGGATAAAGATAAGAGCCACCAACCTCCACCATTTCACCTAAATGTTACCATACAGCTAATATGACATGGATAAAGATAAGAGCCACCAACCTCCACCATTTCACCTAAATGTTACCATACAGCTAATATGACATGGATAAAGATAAGAGCCACCAACCTCCACCATTTCACCTAAATGTTACCATTCAGCTAATATGACTTGGATAAAGATAAGAGCCACCAACCTCCACCATTTCACCTAAATGTTACCATACAGCTAATATGACTTGGATAAAGATAAGAGCCACCAACCTCCACCATTTCACCTAAATGTTACCATTCAGCTAATATGACTTGGATAAAGATAAGAGCCACCAACCTCCACCATTTCACCTAAATGTTACCATACAGCTAATATGACATGGATAAAGATAAGAGCCACCAACCTCCACCATTTCACCTAAATGTTACCATTCAGCTAATATGACATGGATAAAGATAAGAGCCACCAACCTCCACCATTTCACCTAAATGTTACCATTCAGCTAATATGACTTGGATAAAGATAAGAGCCACCAACCTCCACCATTTCACCACAGAACCAGTCAGGCCCTCTAAACACCAGCAGCTGCTCCAGTGTGTGCAAGGACGCCAGGTTCAGCCAGCCTCGATGGAACGAATCTTTCAGCGTGTCATTCATGATCTCGCTGGTCAGTTTCTTGCCAGTCAAAAGATAAGGCCTCAGTGGCCTTTGAGGATGGCCCTCGGGCAGTATATCAAAGATTATGTTGTCTATAATAGCTTGAATGGGTTGCTTCCTGTTTTTTTTATAAACAATGAGTAATTTAGTTTTACTTACTAGAAAATTATTAATTTTTTAAGTTATAACATTCATACTGAAAAAAAAAAAAATAGTATTTTTAAAAAATTATTTACTTAAATTTTTTTTTTTAATATTTAAATCTGTAAATGACTAATTTATTCCTCCAAAATAAAAAAAAATGTCTTTTTAAAAATTTTGATTAATTCACCCTTCAATGCCCAAGGATGCTGTGAAGAACTCCAGCATCTTGAGAGGCTTGGCTCTGGCGCTAGCGCCCACCATATTCATGTAGCTACACAGGTACGTCGTGCACACCAGGATCAAGCTCTTTACATTCTGCTTGCGGATGTGGTCAATGATGGACTGGGGACAATTCATCAAATGCATCAGTACCATAGATAACATATTCCGTTATTCAGAGAGTTCCTTTATTGATGGAAGAAAGCATAACTTAACGAATCTCTCAGTAATGTTTTGGAAACTATTCCATTCTTCTAAGACCACTTCAAAAGTGGCAAAGACTGTAGATGATTCAATTCACCTTTCAATAATTTTGACAGCATATTTCTTTTAATCTAAAACCACCTTAACTGGCAACATGCGTTTATAAACAAGCCTAAACATCACTGCTTCTAAAAATTAACAATGAGACTGTAACACTAAAAATGTAAACATTATCCTAGTAAAATTACACAATTTTCTTTTAAACTGACAGCGGACATGAAATTTACCTTGACTTTCTCCAGTGTAAGAGACATGTGTTCCAGAGCAAACAGAATCTCCTGCATTGCATACGGCAGCAACATGATCAGCTCTTTCCATCCACTGATCCTGTTTAAAAAATTACAAAAGTAAAGGAATTATTCACTAAAAATTTTTTTACAGCTACATCAAATAATTAATTATTATAATATTGCATGTTAGACCCACAGTTTTAATGACTTACGATAAACATGGAACAATTTCAGAATAATTCATCATAAGATTCAGTATGCAGTCTATTTTCTCCTGCTCGTCTGAAAACTCCACATTTTTATATTTCCCTTCCTCTGGCAGCCATTTTTTCGCCCATTGAACAACCAGGGAGTATTCATTTTCTTTGTTAGCAAGTGCTATCTGAAATAAGACTTGGGCTTAAACATATAACATACTATTTGTTTAGTTCCCTACAAAACAACAGAAATTTAAAGAAAACTATGATTAAATTATTTACCCCATTTTCACTAACAATTACTCACGATTCAAAGAAAAACTTACCCCTAGGCCAAATTCTACAGCAACACTAAAGGATAACTTCCATAAGGCCAGAAATTTACTCCTATACTAAAAAAAAACTTCACCTAGGCCAAAAATTTAACCTTATACCAATGAGAAGCTTACCCTTTGGTCAAAAGCTTAACCCAATAAAAAATGAATAGCCAAAGAAAAACTGACCCCAATGCCATTCTGCTGGAAGATACTTGTGATCATGAGAAACGTCACATCAAACATTTGACTCCTGTTTGGTATTTTCAAGGACTCACTAGTGGTCTGTGAGGCAAGCTCATTGATACTGTTCGTGGAAGAAAAATAAAAAAAACATTTTCACTACTATTTTTTAAACATTAGTTACTAACAGATAATTAGGAATAAAGAGAGGAAAACAGTTACATATATTATTCTCATCACTTCTTAAAAATTGTTTATCAAACATTATTTACAAGAAAGTTGCTTTTGACTATAAATAAAATCCAAATATAAGTTTAAATAAATAAAAAGATTTTGGTTAGGTTTGAATAAAATAGAACTGTGGGAGTATGTTTATACTTAATCAAAATTAGTGGATAAGTTTAAAAGAACCAAAAATACCAAAATAAGTGTACAGAAAATCAAAATTGCCAGATTAATTTAAATCAAATGAAACTTCGAGAACAAGCTTAAAAAAAATTAAAATTACTGAATAAGTTTAAATTATATTAGATAAAAAATAATGGAAATAAAATAAACTATACCGAATAAGTTTATACAAAAAGTCCTGGAGCCTCCCAGTACTTGCAGCAGCAAGACGCAAAATTTCAAGGCTGTGGCTCTGTAGCATGATAGTCAACACCTTGACCATTGAATCTGAGTTTTTTTGTGGATCAGAATCTAAGGACTGAAAAAAAAAAAGAATTTGTAGTAATTGAAATAAAATTATATTCAAATGTGACATAAAATTCAAATTTTCTTACCCACAAATACTTAAAACTCTAGGGATAGTAATTCTGCTGTTATTGTTAAACTAATAACCAGAGTTAATTTTGCTTAGTTCTGAAAGCTGAAATCAATTTTCTACTTCATTAGTAACATCACGTAGATAAGCATTCTCTTCATCCTTTTATTACTTTAAAAAAAAACTGCCAAAAATAGTCAAATCTGATTATATAGCATACAAATCTTTAAAACAAAAATGATCTGTATTTAGATATAAAAAAAATGACAACATGTCTTACTGTACAGGAGAAAAGATTTTTCCCCATAAAGTAACATTTAAATTAAAATTATTTATATATTTTTAAAAATTTTAACACTTCATATTGTTAAGATAATAAGTTTAATTATAATGCAATAAAAACCCCAGCCTAATTGATATTATTTAAATATAAAAGCAATTTTAAAAAGTGGTTTAGAGGATTTATTTCTGGATGAGTAACAGTAAAAAAAAAAGTTAAACTTGAACCCAGTCAAAAGGTTAGTCATTTATTTACAGTTACATTGTACCCAGCGTTCAGTTCATTCAGAGCTGCTGATTTAATTTAGAACTTATCAAGCAGGGTTTTATAAAAGTATGATGACTAATCAGCCAAGTACAACACTTTAACACAAAGCATTTCTTTTCAAAATTAAATGCCAAAAAAAAAAATCAACTAGCTCATTTGTAATACTATAAGCATTAAACAAATGTTAATTTATATTTTTAAAGTGCATAAAAATATTTTATGAAACCAATGAACAAGTGTTTCCATATGAAAGTTAATTTATATGACTTTAAAAAAATGTATATACTGGGGCATATGTCACATGCTAAAAATGTGTATCAATAATAACACAGTAAGAAACCTAACTCCAAAATATGAAGAGCCCTGAAAGTTCAATACTTGCAATGCCACAAAATGGTAATAAAAATTCAAGTTCACAAAGGCTGCAAACAAAACCATGCATAACTAATACAAGTGAAATTCAAAACAAATGGCTAGTTAAAAAGTAGAAAACTCCATCTACAGAACAAAGAAAAGATTTTTTGTTTTCAATGTGAAGAGAAGAAAACAGAGAAGTGATGACATCTACAAGCTAGCAACAACAGTGACAAACAAACAGCTCATTAAAAATGTCAATTCATCCTCTGCTTGAGAATTTTTTAATTTTAATTTTTTTTATTTTTGCTGAATATGGTCGATTTGATCATCTAATTGTCGGCAGTTTTTGGAAAATAAAAATGAAAAACAAGCATATAAAAATCTTAAAAAACAAAATAAATTGTGTTAAGATTGTTTGTTAAGATTTTAAAAATTCTTCCTTGTTTTTCAGACAAAAAACAACTTGACAAGTAATACATAGCGGAATATGTGTCAATGTTAATAAAGCCACTCTCCATGGCCCGGATTAACCTACGCCATCTGCATAATTAATTTCAGACTTCCCCCAGACAGATGCAAGCGGACAAGACAATCTATGCTACAACAATTTTTTTAAGGAATAAATGTAACGTTAAATTTGACAAGTATTAAAAAGTTTGAAGCTACAAAACAAGCTGAAGAACTAGCTTGAACCAGACAACACAGAAGTAAACACTGAAAACAACAGAGATAACGTTTTGAACTCGGTCAACTCTATTTCACCTTCAACATCCTGTCCAAAGTTGCACTTCCCTAGAGAAAACACATTTGATTATTAGAAAAATATTTAAGGCTACCCCCTGGTGACTACTAATGATGTTATACACTCACTTGAATAAAAATTTCATAGTTGTTTTTGTCATTTTGTTTTGTAAACTTTTATAGAAAAAATTTAAACTTTTTAATTCTGTTGTTTAGAAAATCAAACAGCTTCATGAAAATTTGAAAATAAAATTGTTTATCTGGAAATAAACATAAAACATTTAACCTTCTTTAACAAAAATTGCTCAAATATTAAAACAGAAGTTTTGCTAAATCCAACAAAAGTTAAAACAATGTAAATTATTAATGTGTTATATGATGGGAGTTTGTTTTAAATTTGTTTGAGAAAAACCATGCTAACAATAAAATTTTTTAGAGAACATTATACCTTTAAGATGCTGGTAACTGTTGCTTCAGCATGTGTGACTCGACTCAAGTTTTTACCCTCATTGGTGCCAGATATATCAGAAGGACGGAGGCGACTTCGCTGCTCTGATCTAAAAACAACACATTTTCATAAACCATGCACAAAAACAAGGCAAAACAAAAGCAATTTTTATATTTACCACACACACAAAAAAAAAACATAACAAAAATAAAATGGTAGCTAAGGTTATTCAACACCATGATTCACCAGACAAGCGACACAAGTATAGGGATGACGATACAGACAATTAGTCATATTTCAGTTATAACGCCTGCTTCCACCCCTCACCATGTTTACACTATACCCATTTTAAAGGAAGCTACTATTTGTCTGTATCGTCGTCTCTATACTTGTGTCGCTTGTCTGGTCGAATAATAGTCCTTGTTGTGTTTATGAGGCTAGCGGTCAGACCCTTCAGGGTTCAGAGGTCAAGCCAGCCCGCGTCTTCTGTGCACAAAATGTGATAGTGGTCTGCCAAGAAAGCTCTATTAATGTAGAGCTGATTGGCAGAAGTGGTTACACGTCTGACTTGATGCATGGAAGGCGAGGCGATTTGGTGATGTGTGGAATGGTAGGTTCGGAACCCGTCGGGTCTGTCTGTTCTGTCTTTACTTGGACTATATTCTGTACCTTTGTCTATCCCTGGCATTGAAATATCACTTTATGTTTATATTGCTATTTCAGTTATAACGCCTGCTTCTACCCCTCACCAAATTTTCTAACTTGTATCTCTGAACTAAAGATATTTATTTCTACTTTAGTTGCAATGTTACATTTTTAAAAACTTACAACCAAATGTGTGAGAATATAAATAGTGAATTGGAAATAAATTCCAAAATGGATATCATATACACTTAATTCATATTTAGACTTTAGCTCAAAACAGCTTCAGGTGCAAAGAAACTCCTTTCACTGTGGATGGTGTGTAAGGAAATTCCTTTTACTGTGGATGGTCACAAATGTCTAGCTAATGAGATAAAGAAAACCAAATACCTTTTCTGACTAAAAGATATTTTTTGTGTTTCTGTGATAATATTGGCTTTGTGGAGTTCGATGATAAACTGCACGAACATGTCAAAACTGAAATTTTAAAAAAGACATTAAATGTAAATTCTTAAACATATCTTTTTCAGTACACTGGTAGATAGAGGAGTAGGGCCTGCCTGCATTCTCTAAAGACTAAAGCCAACGCATATTTTTTATACAGACCTAATTGATAATCTAAAATAATTAACACTTTGATTGGTAACTTGGACAAAATTTATCTAAGAATGTGTGATACTTTTGATCATCTTTAACTTCAAGTTTACAAATATTTCATTTCTAGTTTTTGTCCCAAGCACCCCAAATTAATTATAAAAACCTTTCCACAATAAAAACTATTAATGTTAAAGACTGGTATTGGCTACTAGCAGACAAGACCCGTAACTCACTTTTGTTTGATGTCTGTCTGGTCTAGGAGGTGGGACAGCTCTAGCAACATCTCAAGAGCTTTCTCAATGTCTGTCTCCATATCCCAGTCTGGCATCTGCTGCTTTATACAGACGATTATACGCGGCACTTTTAAAAATGTGAAAGTCGCCCACTGATAGTCCTCACCAAACTCATTGGAGTCGACGAAACCCATGAAACAGGCGCGGAATATCTCCAAACACATTTGTGGCATTGGCAGTTTCTGAAAAAGCAAAAGTTATTTAATTAAAATTAAACTTTGGGGTACTTTTAGATTCATCACATTAATGTTTCTTTAACTAGAATATTTTCTGTGTATCAAAGTTAATGAGCCATAATTATATATTTTTAAAGACATTTTATTTTCAATTAATTGACATTTTAATAAAAACTAATCTTGTAAATATTTGTATATTAGCTATACCAAATTTATCTTTAATTATCTAATAGTAATAATAGCAGATTAGAATGCTTTTTTTTAATCAAACACAAAAGCTAGTTTTAACATTTAACTTTAATATGACAAATAAAATGTATTTAAAAACACTTTTCTTAGAAAAGAACATTCTATAAAAAAAAACATCACCACTAACCATAAGCCTTGAAACAACCAGAATCTGATCCACAAATGGCTGAATCTCACTGCTGGAGTTGAGTATGGCTTCTAGTGTAACAAGGCCATTGATTGTTGGGTAAATGGGCGAGTGCATGATCTCCAACACTGGCTCCAAGTTAGCAGGTGCCCCATTGATTCTGATTGGAGGTTTAAAATTATACAACATTACATAAAATAGTTTTAAAATGTTTGTTTGTATTAATATTAAATCATAAAAAAAGTTAATTATCAATTCATATACTATTATAATTATAATTTTAGAAAAAAATACCTCAAAATAAATACTTGGAAAAATTGGGGGCGAAAAAAATTTGAGATAACTGCCCGGTGAACTGATTATAACCTTACTTTGATAGAAGAGACAGAGCTGAGCTAATTTTGTCCTTAGTTTCGTCAGATATTGCACTTCTTGACAGTTGACTGAGTGTTCCTCTGACATTTAGCTCACACTGTTCAAACTCCCTATAAGCCTCTGCAAACATGTATAGATTGGTAATGATTACATGTTAATAACATTTGTTGTACAATTCTAAAACATTGAGATGATCTGAAAAAATGTCCAAATTTAAAAAAGGATTTTAAAAAGATTAACAAGTTAAAATTGATTTTCATGAGCAACTAAGAAATACAAACCGGGGTCATCATTTCTAGCTATCTGCATCAGACTACAAACTGTTCTGCGCTCAAGTATATTCCCAATAGCACGACTTGCATTGTCCATAATAACAAAGTATTCGGCAGGTAATTGGCCTGACCGGGACTCTTGGAGGCGCTGTCAATGTGAAAAAAGTCAGTAAAATTATCATACAAAAATAAGTCTTTCAATTACGTTTATATGCATTTCTTTTTAAAACTTGAAAAACTCTTAATTATTAGGACAATTTTTAAAAATGTTTACTTTTTGTCTTTTAAAGATGGTCTGGATTCACTTTAAGCAATAAATTAAAAAAAGCTACATTTAATGAAAAAACAATAGGATTTCTTCTGTTTTCATACAAGACTAAAGAGGCTGTAGTTAGGGTAGTATTGGGGTAGTAGTGCTAGCAAAAAAAGAAGTGTACCTGCAGGCAGACCAACTGTGCCTTGACTAGCCAATGTATCAGACTGAGCACTGTGCGTACCAGTTGTGTGGGTGAATCTTGACATGGGCTAAAGCTGTTGAAAAGTGTAACAGGAAATTAGCAATACAAGCTTGATCACACTGCTTGTGTAATATTTATGACTATTTTTATAATTAGAATTATTTTTATTATTATAAACTAATTTCACACAGTAAAGACCAGTAGTGTAATCCAAATATGTGGTCAAGCAAGTGTTTAGGTTGTTGATAATTCTCTGAACCTTAACACTTTGCTCAAATGGTAATGTGAATACATAACTCAATTTTAAAATTATAAGGAAACATTTATAACAATATTAAAATAAACTTTAACTGTGTCACCTGATCTTTGATCCAAACATTTCTGCAAGGTTTAAAAGTGCTAGAACACAGTACGGTCTGGAAAAGTCTTCAAACTCAGTGATATACTTTAGCACAGTGTTGAATGGAATCATCTGTTGGAATTTTTAGTTATAATTTTTTTAAATTTGAAAATGAAAATTGAGAACATTCAGACTTAAATCAAAGAAATGCCAAAACTCACCAAAGAAAGCACACTGTGTTTTAGGTAAGAAAGGATCAGTGAGTTAGGACTACTTCCAACAAGTGCCTGCTGCATCAGAATTTCTTGACATCGGAAAATAAAATGTTAACATGTATAAATAATTTTATAAATTACTCTTTAAACACTTATTATTTTGCAAATAAGTTGCAAGTGTAGTTTAGGTAATAATAAATAAATATCATTAAAAATATCTGATATCTATAATTTTACAAACACTATCCCTTCATATGCAGAGGTCAAAGAAACAGGTGAACTCTACTTCACTTGCCTTATGGGCCGTCAGGTTCAAAAGGGAACTTTACTATAACATTACAACTGTATTACACACAAATATTAAATATATAGTAAATTATACTAAATATAACATAATACTAAGTAAACTAGGTTTAAAATGAACTTTCCAATATTAAAATTCAGTATTTATATTATCATAAATACAACACTATGCTATTGATTCAGAATAGGGTTGTCAAAATGTAATCAATGAACAAAACTTTTTTTTTATAGTAATATTAACCTACTAATTCCAGCAATATTGGTTTTTACTTTAAGGAGTTTTAATAGCACTTTCTACTTCACACTCAGGTTGAAGAATGTTGTACCATACAGCTTATTCAAAGAAAAAAATAAAGCAGTAACAATTGGCTAAGCCTTTTAAGAATTTACCAGCAACATCCACAGATTCAGACGAGTAAGCTGCCATGAGCTTCTTTAACTGGATGGCCCACTGAATTTCTGTCCAGCGGTCCCTCCATGCTTGCATCAGTGTTAGCTTGATTTTACTAATCAGCTGTGCTTTAGCAGAGACTGAGTTTTGGCTGCTATTTATTCCTGGTTCTTTCTTTATATCTACCTGTGTTCTGGAAGCAGATTGTAAAATAGCAACTTCAATTTTATATGTAAATATGAATAATCAACTTAAATTACAAGTCGTTAAAGGGCATTTTCATGTAAAACAGACACAGAATCAATCAGAATGACGAATATTAGCTAACTTTAAGGGTCTTATTCTACTAAGTTAAAGTTAACTTACTAGGATTAGGGTTAAAGATGAGAAGTAAATACTAGAATGGCAGTTAAGGCTAAAATAAGATACTGTGTTAAACTATGCAGATTTAAAGTTTCAGCGTAACTCATTTGAAAGTTTAACAGCAACATCCCGTCAAAGTGGACTTACCCAGACAAACTTGTACCACTAGTGCTGGCACCAGAGCCTGGCTCTTTTTTTATCTGAACAGACATGGCTGATATAAGCTCCTCCCAAGATTCTTCCACTTACTTCATTAAAACTCCATCTTTATTTGCTGTAGATTGAGATACCATTGAATATATCACAAATTTAGGGGAAATTTAAGCACAAGTTCAAGTACTTTGCTGAAAAGTAATTAATTAGTTAATAATTAGGCCAAATGGCAATAGGATAGGCCTACTAATACTATTACTTACTAACTACTAACTAGATCTAGATTCTAGAGTAGAATTCTAGATTCTAAACTTAGTAACACTACAACTACAACAATGAAGAATAGAATCTATATATATAATTCTCCTCTTCGAGCCGTTAGAAAACAAGCTGCAAACGCTCTCCCTACCTCCCCACCCCTACATGGTTTTAGTGAGCTGTGTTCACTCTAAATGTTTACAAGCAGAGCCAACGATTTTAAACGTAGGGGGGGGGGGTAGGGGGGGGGGGGGGTTAGGGGGGGGTTATGGTCCTTAACAAGCTACTTATAGTGTTTTAAAGAAATATGTTATGCAGCGGGCCGGCTCGTATTATTGAATATTTAATTTTAAGTAGGCCTATTAGTATTAAGAATATTTTTCTGGAAAATAGTAAAATACTACTGGACTACTGGGGGGGGGGGGGGGGGTCTAGCCGCATAGCATAAGTTAAGTACTACTAGATTCTAGATCTACTACTACTAAAGTACTAAACTAACTAAACTACTCTAGCACTCTAGTACTAGTAGTACTCTAACTCTAGGGTGTGGGGAAATTGCGAGACGCGAAAAGCGAAATGGCGAGGCGGGGAAAATGCGAGAAGGGCGCGAAAACGGTCGGTCACGTGACTTTTATGTCTCGCATTTTACCACAACCCGATACTTACGCTGGGTGGTGTTGAAATGCGAAGATTTCTGCGAAAAATTTACCGCACCCGATTTTCAGTGGTATTTGGTCCAGACTTCAAAGAAGTTTCGTTTACATTGTTAAAACTTCCGATTTTTCCGTCGCTAGACATACTGATGATTTGTCAACTCCCCCCCCCCCCCCCATCTTTTGTGTCGACTTAGAATACCACCTTGTTCGAAACCGACGGAAATACCGCCGACGATAGATCAACTTCTTTCTTTTGTGTGGAACGCCGAAGCCGCCGAAACCGTCTTTGAAGATCGCCGTGCCGCCGCAAACATATTTTGTATTGTTGCATAGAAATGTGTGACGTCACACTATAAAAAAGCAATGTTAGAAAAAGAATTTTAGACGTTTTTCGTGTTTTAGAAAACTGTTTTCATAAATTGTAATAGGAATTGATTAAAATACAGAAATTAAACAAGATTTTGGGAAAATATCGATGTTTTAAAAAAAAATTCAACTGCAATTTTGAGGTGGGGGGGGGGTTGTAGACTGAGGTGTGACGTCATTTTAGTGGGAGGGGGGGTCTGGATTTTTGTGAAAATGTGTGACGGAGGGGAGGGGGAGGGGGGGTAAAAATCGTCATTTATGGATGACCCCTTTTAGCTATTAAATGGTAGTTTCGTCCATAGCGGACTTTATTCAGATTATCTACAGACGCACATTTTTTTCCATTCTGTTCATATTCGTGTTCTGTGTTAGCACAGTATAAATGGGAGTCTAATGAACTGGTGGGTTGGATGTACTATGTGTGAAAGATGGTGTGACGAGGTGTGTTTGATTAATGCTAGGACTGTTTCAGAAGATTTTGTTTGTAAATTTTGTTTGTAATTAAAATTACTTAATAAAAAATAAATTACACTTTTAAGAATTGTTTATACTTTTACACTTTTTGCAAGTACAACAATCCATGAATACATGTTGCAGAATATCTCTCCTGCTGACAAAATTATACCAATTCACAATCAGTGTTTCTTCCAGACTTTTTTCTCCGGGGGGGGGGGGGGGGCACTTGAAATCTTCGGGGGGGGGGGGGCGGTAAACTTTCTTCGGGGGGGGGGGGGGGGGCGGACACTGTTAAAAGTATATATTTTCTATATAAATTATAAACATTTCATTTCGTTCGGGGGGGGGGGGATGCCTGGAAGAAACTCTGATTCACAATGACACAGCTCACGTTTGTATAAACATGAGCGGGCTAGATTTTTAAAATTAATGCCGACTGAAACGGGATTTTCCTCTCGCTAACGAGAGCGGGCGATGACAGTAGCACAGCAACGATGTTAGGATTTTTTAATAGATATAGATATAGATCTATCTATCTTCTTAGTATCTATCTATCTATATATATATATATATATATATATAATAAAATCTAGATAAAAAATAACAACATACAACACTCGTGTTAAAGGGTATGGCTACATGCTAGTTTATTTTAAAATTAAAACAAAAAAAAAATAATTTAAATAAATAAAGATGAAATAAGCATGAAAAAAAACTTTTTTCGCAAAAAGTGTCTCGCTATTTACCCTTGATTCCGCAGGTATGTCTCGCATGATCTTCTCGCATTTTCCCGCCTCGCCATTTCGCTTTTCGCGTCTCGCAATTTCCCCACACCCCCTAACTAACTCTAGCAAGGTAAACTCATCCATTTTCCTTTAGATTATAGTTTATCTAGATATAATCTAGATCTAGAACTAAATTGGGTAGAACTACGTTTTTACCTTTAAAAA